GTAGGAGTCGGGGTAGGGGTAGGGGTAGGTGCAGGTGCAGGTGTAGGGGAAGGTGTAGGTGTAGGTGCAGGATTTAGACCAGGTGCAGGTGTAGGTAACCATACGGGTGAATTTATACATATATATATATATATATATACGTAGAGATGTCAGAAAGCACCACCAAGCCTGACCCTACACCTTGAAGCCTTCAGTGGCAAACCCACCCCTTACTGCTTCGTCGAAGCCGCGTGCTGCACCGTGCGGGGGCGCGGTGAGCGCCGAGGCGTCCGCCGTGAGATCGGCTCGGCCCGGGAGCGGCGAGGGTTCACCGCCACCAGCGTGGGCGTCACCTTCTTAGGTTTCTAGAAGGGTTACTGTCTAGGTGTTTAGGGTTGAGGGTGTTTAGGGTTGAGGGTGAATTAGGGGTCTGGGGAGGGTTATTTTAACATCTTGCAGGGTTCTACAAGGGTTACTCTGCGGTGCACTAGGGGAGTTCTATAACCCAGGAGCGTCAACAATGGATTCGGACTCTCGCAACTCGCACTCGGGTTTAGTGTTTGGGGTTAAGGTGAGCTAGAATAGGGGTTTGGGAAATGCTACTTTAAAGGCTCTATAAGGCTTACTCTGAAGATTACTACAGGAGTTGTATAATTAGTACAGGCGACTTAATCGTTGGAATAGGGTTCAGCAAGATGCCATGCTACTCTTATATAGGGACCCGGGCTTGCTGTAGGCTCAACCTACGCCGAACAACCTGCTGCATTAAAGGTCGTACTAAGGAGCCCCTGTAAGGTCGGTTTTGGAGGGTCCAGGAAGGGTTTCAGATTTTGTGACAAGCTGAAGGCCAACGGAGCTTTCGGTTTCGGATTGTGTGAAATCAAAACCCCCGTGAGCTTGGTCCTTCAACGATCGAAGCGTTCAGGATAAGCCCTACAACATACAAAAAAGATAATTCCTTTTCGTAACCCAAACCCTCGTTGGGCCCAGAGCTCTGGATTTCAATTAAAGGTTCCAAAAAGTCGGTGAAGTGCCGAGGTCGTGCTCTGGGATGGCAGCTTCTTTGCGTCGCTTGTCGCAGGAGTTCCTTGAAAGGTTTGTGTCAAAGGTCTTATACAGGGCTTGGGCCTTAGGGTTTGGGAACGCCTGGTGTTCTAAGTTTTCAGAACGGGATTGCGGAACTTCTGTTTAAAGTCTCCTTGCAGAGCCGGTTTCGGAGCTCAAGTTCACCCTGCACACAATATAGCTCTAATGCTGATACTACACCTACCGGAAAAAAACAGAAAGAAGAGGTTAGAACAGTTCGTACATACTAACCCCTTATAGTCGCTGCACAATCTAGCCCGCAAGGGTATGCCGACTATGATTGCAGGCTCTAGGCTGCCTCCTTGGGCTTCACTGGAGTCTCCTCCGGTTGGATCATGTCGGCGGTGTAGTTCGTGCTGATCATGCCCCTCTCGACATGCGCCTGGGCTTGGGGTCTTGAGCTTCGCAAGCAGAGCAGGGTTTTGGGAGATTTTACTGCACCCTAAGGGACGGTATGGGTAACTGCTCCGGCACTGGAACTTGAGTTTAGGGCTTCTGTTCCAAGATCAGGCCACTCTCGCAAGCCTCTCACAACTGCGTGTTCCAGTTCAGGAATCTGACGGCCTCGAAGCTTCGGAGGCCGTCTTAGAGCATCCAAGCTGCCCAAATCATCTTGCAGCGATTAAGCCGCGGCTGAACTCAAGCAGTGGTGAAACATGCCGCACGCACTTGGTGCATTTTGGGGTGACGTCCGCTCGCAAGGAGGACTGGGATCTCCCTCAATGCCGAAGTTACGAAAGGCTTGCAGGCTGTGGAAGCTGATGACATATGATACACATACAGATACAATGGCGGATAGTACTGGTCACTTAGCACTCTGTTAGACACAGTAGCTGCGATGAGTGGTTTAATATGTTGGGGGTGATGTTTTGCATGACGGGGCCTTCCTAAAACCTGCCTAGACCCTATGCTGCTGGATCTACACTCGCATCTGGGGATCTGCAGCGATTCACCCGACGTCAGACCCAGCGGTGTTTTAGGGCATGACTGGGCTTGCCGCTCGCCAGCATCCAGCGAAACTGCTTGTGGCTAAGGCATGAAGGTCGACTTCCGGCCTACGGGTTTTGGGTTTAGGAGAGTATTTCTGCAAGGCCGGAGTGGTACTGGAATGGTGCACATGATGCCTTACGCCCCAAACCCTAGTGTCTGATGTATCCTCAGCCCATAGTCTCAAAGCGGCAAACCCCGCTGACCCTGCCAGGCGCCTATTTCAGCACCTGCAGCTGGGCCCTCCTAATCTTGTTGAGCCAGGAGGGACAAGGCGCGAATGGATGCTCAAGTATTAACTTGACTTCTTGCAGTTGTTCCGTTTTTTTGGTGGTTCTTCAGACAGAACTCGTGCAGGACCCTCCATCTATCTTTAAACTGCAAAGAAACTCCGCTTTAGGTCCTACGCTTCACGATAGTGTTCAGGTACCGCACCCAACGAGCACATTGATGCCCACATCTGACACAAACGGTGGCGGAAATTCCTGTTCTCCATGTCCTTGTCGTCCAATGCCAGGAACTCCTCCAACAGTCGCCCACAAGGCGCCAGAAGGCCGTGGGTTTCGCTACGGCAAATACTCGGTCAACACGCCCTGAATTGGGCTTAGCAATGCCAACCCACACAATAAGACTGACAGTGATACGGCGGATGTTTTACACTTTCTTGGTGCTGCTTATTGGAGTTTCGCTTCTTGAGGGGGCGAGCTTCGTGAGGCTCACGGCTAAAAGTCCTGCAAGAGTGCAAACACACAAAGTGCTGCGCCTCGCTCCACCGGTGCTTCATTGACCAGTCGAAGTACTCCTTGGCGCCGGTCTCGCAAATGGCTGAAACCCCAACTCCGGGCAGTTCAGCAGTACCCCAACTCCTGAAGCCCTGTCTGGACCCAAAGCCCAAAAGGCCAGCCTTTGCCTAGACCCCAAGTGCCGCTCCGTTGATGTCAATTGCGTCTCCATGGTTGGGTTTGCTGTGCGAGGCTGTTGGAGGCTACTGGGTCCGGAGTTGGTCTGGGTGCAGGACAGCCCGTGCACACTGCTTGCACGCGTGGAGCAAGGGTGTGTGTGTGCCAAGGGCAGTATAAACATTAAAGCCTGAGACCCCATATACCCAGCCCTAAACCCTGTGCGGACAAACTAAGGGCCTTGCCTCAAAGTCGATGACTTCATTGCGATCCTTGTCCATGTCCTCTATTTCCGTCGCACAGAAGGGCATTTCCATGGCAGGGTTCGATTGAAAAGGGTCCTCTAAGGGTACTTTGTGGTTCATAGGCCCTTGCACAAGCATCTTCATGTTCTACATGTTTCGGCTACATTTCGCCTTAGATCCCCATGCCAGTCCAACCCTATCCTGAGTCGTGACAAGAGCACCGGGACGAAAGTGCCTTTGCACTAAAGCTTTGAAACCTCGGGGACTCGGGGACTCGGGGTGTGGGATTTTGGTTTGTGATATCTATAGCATCCACCCAGCCCCTAACATGCAGACGGAGAAGCGAAGAGCAGTGGTACACTCACACACAAGCGTTTCAGCGCATGCACCCTTATGTGGGCCCAAGCCGGGCATGCCAGGAAATCAAGCCGTGAAACTCTGAACCTGAGTCCTGCAAATGTCAATCTCAGGCTGTTGCCTTTCACTTGGGGTTGTAGCTGGGTCTACTACTGTCATGTCAAGTCGAACCCGGAGATTACCGTGGCTCCCCGATCGGATTCCTGGAAGTACTTCTTGATCTTCCGCGCCAAGTTTGCTGGAAGATCCTGGCAGGTGGCTTGATTTATGTCAGCTCAAACACAGGCCCCAAGCAGAAATCACTGTAGCAACTTTGGGCCGGCATGCTCGGCTGAGGGCCGTTACAAGCCCAAGCTGAAACCGAAGAGTGTCGAACATGCCATGAAGCCTGGCAGCTGTTGCTGCAACCACGACAAGGGGGCAGAATCCGACCAGGTTGGGCGCGAAGTCAGTTAGCCAACAAGCGAGGTAGGGGCCAGCAGCTAGAAGTGAGCCAGCAATTTGTGTGGTGGCGGTGGCGTGGCGTTGGTGGTGGCATCGCAGTGCGAGTAACCAATGTTTCGTAACGACGATTGCACATAAAGGACTTTGTGATCGCCCAACCAACAGCGACGGCGGTACCAGTAATGGTCCCCCCTCCTCGAATTCATCTTCATCGTCGACTTGCATGAGAATACCTATGCAAACCAGCAATATGGACCATGAACCCTGAAGCTTGACAAATGACGTCTGAGCCCCTAAACCCTAAGCCCCAAGCCTAAACCCTTTATCTTGAACCCTAAACCTACACCCTGAATCCTAAACGCTAAACTCCACATAGCAACCCTGATGGTAGCCCTTAGCCCTAAAGAGATAGCAACTCTTAACGGAACCCTTGAAGGAACCCGCAGCCCTTAAAAGCAACATACTCTAAACCCTAAACCCTGCTCCAAGAACCCTACAAGCGACTCTCCTGGTCTTCCGGCCAGTTCAAGTTTTGCCGCGTGGAGACCTCCGGGCAACAGAGGCGGAAGCCTTCGGGGACGTGTAGGGGCCTTAATAATTAGGTTAGGGTTTTGGGGCCCATTATACTATAGTTCTAATAAGGAACCCCCAAAATAGTATAGGAAATCGTTTCGGCCCCTATATTAACCAGGTTTGGTTTGGATTTCGGGGTTGATCAACAGTATGGGCCCTTCTGGGGTCTGTGTTGTACTATACGCCTTATAGTTTAGGGGACCAAAAGGAGCCCAAAATCAACCCCCATTTATTTTGGGGGGTTTACAGTCTCGCAACTCGGACAATGCCAGACGAGGTCTCTCGATCCATGCGCGCTCAAACTACTATCCTAGCAGCTGGTGATCAGTTCCGCTACGGGGAGGGGCATCGAAGTAGCTGCATAACACTTAAGCCAAGCCAACATTCAACGATTACCAAAGCAGTCGATACATTGACCAACTGGAGCCCGCGCCAAGCAAACTCAGCTCGCGAATGCCTAGCCGGCCCGTATACTTCAGAGTAACAAAGTGCACAGCGAGCAGAATCCAACAAGGCACCAAGACTACGCTGTTTGCGTTGAAAAGCTAGGGTACTCTCAAGCAAAATCCCATGCAACTAGCCCAATAAATAGCATGAGAACCCAGGCACAGCAGGCACAAGAACCTACCAGTAGGATTTTTTGCCTCCCATCTAGCCAGGACCAAGCCCACATTGCAGGGTACAGTCCAAAGCACAACAGAGTTTAGAATCTAGGACAGGGTTTCGGGACTAGGTTTGGGGGTTCAGGGGATTCAGAAAGCTGCTTTTTGACTTGGGGCCTAAATGCCAACCAAGACGCTTTGCAAGCTTTGCAGCCTAACTAGTTTGTGGTGCGCGGATGTAGTGCCAACTCCACGGGACCACTTGGCTTTTGCCCCCTAAAGCTGCCCATGTAGCTATAAAAGCCTCGAGGCCCGCATAATGCGAGACACTCTACGCCACTAAACCGTTTGAAAGCAGAAGTAAGCTTCGAAACCCACAAATGATGGCAGCAGGAATGCAGAGCCCCGCATCTTATACTGCCTATAACACCCAACATCTCAAGCCCCTGTACTAAACCCTTTATTTTAGTAACCCAATAGAGAAGCCCTACAAAGAGCCCTTGAATTGTATTTCTTCCGGCCCCCAAATTCCGACACAACTGCAGCCGGGGTCAAAAGAACTTACTGGGATTTGGGGGAGCGTGAGCGTGGATCTCTACAGTCGTCCCGACAAGTATATTGGGTAATCCCTTTTGCTAGTTTTAAACCCTGTTCCCGAAATCCTAAACCCAAACCCAAAACCCTTACCCTAAAGCCCAAAGCCTATACAAACCGTTTATTCTCCGCTCCAGTCTTCCTTAGGCGCCAGTAGGAGAACTGCCTCGAACTCCGCTTCCGAAATGAGCATGTCACCACCTAAGAGAGGGGGCCCTGAATAATTTCAACAGGGTACCTTTGAAAGCTGGATAGTTTAGGGTTTAAGGTTTTTTTCGGGGCGCCGGCCTACTGGCCAATATGAAGGTTGGTATAACATGAGTCCTGACACCACCATCTTGCGGTCAGTATCTACAATGAATCTACAAAGTGAGATAGGGTTGATATGCCACGTCAGCAAGCCTTCCATCAACGAACGCCGCGGTTGGCACATAGCAACCACAAAGTGCATGTCGAACCTCCACGGGCCCGCCCTCCGAAGCCGGGCGGCTTGGGTAGTAGCCGGCAGGAACAAGGCCCTTCCCTCGCTGATCCCTCACCGAAGTACTAAGCTGGGGACCGGCTCAGAGACGGGGCATGGCGGGAAGGGGTGGTCGAACAAACACGCACACGCGCACAGCACCGGCTGTTCGAGACTAAGGGCAGAAGCATGTTCAGCTGATGGCCTTGTAGCTGCAAACACTCGAACCGTGTCCCCTTGGCGTGTGCGGCGATGCGCGAATCACCAACAAGGGCAAGGCCCGCCCGGGCAAGGCCACGGAATTATTTGCTCCTGCTCTTCTACCCTGGAACAACACAATCTGCGGCCTCGCAGCAAAATGCAGGCTTTTCGCTCCCCCCAAAATCGGCTCCCTACGCCCAAGTTCGAGCTCCAACAGACCTCACGGACCTGGCCTTTTCCTCCAATAACGAAATCCCGAAATCCGTGTGAGAAACTCGTGCCTGCGATATATTGCGATTTCAGGTAGAAGCGTGCGTGTCACACGTTTAGAGCAGTGGTTTGAGCACCAAGACCCTGCGAAAGAAAAAGAATACCAAACCCCTCTCACACTCTAAATCCCAAAATCCTAAAACCTTTCTATACTTGTTCATCAAGGGCTGAGGCTAAACATCATAACCGAAGGCACCCAACCCTGAACCTGAGGGACTGAAGTTGCAGAGTCTTAAGGCAGTTTTACCGGCTCACGTCTAGAGGGGGGAAAGGTCTGGCTGGACGTGGGCCCAGAGGTAAACGTTCCTAAACCCTCAACCCTGAACCCTAGACCTCAAAACCCTAAGCCCTACAACCCAAGCCTAAACCCCAAAACCCTAGAACCTAGAACCCTAAACCTTAAAACCTTAAACTTTAAGGCCTTTATGGCCCATATCCTAAGCCCATTAGGCTCGGCCTCGGGACTCGAGGTGTTGTTTTTTTCGGGCTTCTGGTTCTCGGAGTTCTCAATGATTCGAATAGGGTTTGGTGGTGCCTTATGCTATAGATATGTGGTGACATGAAGGGACCACAAAGCGCGACGACGACGAC